GGGTCTTTTGGTGGACTTGCGTTTGCAAAAGTTAAAAAGTGAAGCTGCAGCGGCGGCGGCGAGCGCGCGCGCGCGCGGAGGTGCGGATACACCTGCGGCGGAATTCTGGGGTGTACGTACACCTGAAGACGCGGCGGCGGGGCGGAAAGCAGCGGCGGAAACTCCGCAGCCGTCAGAAGAATTAAATGGATTAAAAGTGGAATTAAATGAATTTAAAGTGGAATTAAATGCATTTAAGGAGAAAGAAATCAACTCCAAGTTGAAACAAATGACTGTCTTCGGCTTCAACTATCCCGCGGAGTTCAGCCAACTCTGCATGCATGCACTCACTCCCCCCTTTTCCAACTTTTCTCTTTTCCAATTTCCTTTCTTTTATCCTTTCAACAAAGTTGCCAAAGACCTCCAGACCCGCGGCGCCGTTCAAGTTGTTCCTGCTGCTGCTGCTGCTGCTGCTGCTGCTGCTCTCAGGTTCGCTTTGCTGCTGCGGCTGCTGCTGCTGCTGCTGCTGCCCGCAGTTCAATTCCACTTCTTGCTTTTTCTGCTGCTGCTGCTGCTTCTGCTGCAGACCCTGCTGCTCCTTTTGCTGCAGCATTTTGTTGACTTTGCTGCTGCAGCTCTTTATGATAATGCAGTTTTATTTGCTGCTGCAGCACTTTGTAAAGATGCAATTTAATCTGCTGCTGCAGCAGCAGCAGCAGATAAAGTGCTGCTGCAGCACTTTATAAAAACGCACTAAGACCCACAGCCAGCCAGTGCAATTAAAAGCGGAAAAGATATTTTTTATTTGCTTTTTAATTCCTCAAATGTTTTAAATTAAATATATTTAAGATATTTTATATTTGCATTTCAACTTCTGAAATGATTTTAATTAAATCTATTTTTGCATTCATAGGGGGTATATTTGTGCACAAGTGTATGTACATACTTGCATTTATGTAGAGGTCATTTGTACATTTAAATGTATGAATTTATTTGTATTCATATCCAATATTTTATTTATATTATATATTATGTATATATATGTATATATTACATATAATATATAATATATATATATTATATATTACATATTATATATTATATATTATATATTATATATATTATATATGTATATATATATATATATATATATATATATATATATATATATATATATATATATATATATATATATATATATGCATTCATGCGCTCAAAATATCATATTTGTTTTCATTTGGGACTTGTTGGCAATTGTTCTTTTTCGTTTGAAAATAAATAAAAAGCAAAGTGACAAATTAGTTGACTAATTAATGAACTAATTAATGAACAAATTAATAAACTAATTAAAAGACTAATTGAGTGGCTCATGAGCTGGAAATAAATAAAAAAGAAATAATAAATGAACTAATTAATGAACTAATTGAAAAATGAAATAACGAATTAATGAACTAATTGAACGAAATATTGCACTACTTGCAAAAACAAGTAACAAATAAAAATACCAATAAACTAGTTGCAAAAAGAAATAATAGATAGAAATGTGAATAGACTACTTTAAAAAAGAAGTAATAAATAGATAAGCGGACTGATAGAAAAATAAATAGCAAATGAGTAAATGAACTAATGGAAAAAGTAAATAATAAATAAAAATATTAATGAACTAAATGAGTGTCTTGTCTTTGTGTGCTGCTGCAGCGAAGAGGACTCAGCTGTACAGACAGCCAAGGAGAGAGACGCTGCAGCTCGCCGGCTTTTGCTGCAGCTCAATTTGAAATGAAATGAAATAAAATGAAATAAAATGAAATAAAATGAAATAAAATAAAAGTTTAATTTTGAATTTGAAATAAAAAATAAGTCTGAATGCTGTGGACTTTGCAGCTTTATTTGAACTAAATTGGCGACTTTAAACCTATTTTTTCGTACCACCAAAATGCAAAAAGTCGGGAACTTGAATGCAAATTTGTCTGTCTCGTTTTTTAAAAAGAAAAGATAAATGAGAGAAGATAATACAAAAACAAATATATCTTCTTGCAAATCTGCCATTGCATGCATGCGCAGTCCGCAGTCGGGAGTGCAAACTGGGAGCAATTAAATTGCAGAGTTTCTGTTTCTACAGAAGATCTTTTTGCTTTCCTTGAATTAAAATGGTTGCAAACAACTAAGTGAAGTCGAAGAAACAAAACTGAAACGACGGACGCGCTCCGGCGAAGAGCTGGCTGCTGCCTGAGGTGTACGTACACCTCAGGTGTACGTACACCTCAGGTGTACGTACACCTCAGGTGTACGTACACCTCAGGTGCACGTACACCTCAGGTGCACGTACACCTCAGGTGTACGTACAGCTGAGGTGTACGTACAGCTGAGGTGTACGTACACCTGCAGCGCCAACTCACAAAGTGTCGTAAGTCGCCGCTCGCTGCCTTTCACTTCTTCCATATTTCCAAAAAGCAAAAAAGCCACTCAGCAGCAGCAGCCCCACCACGCCGCCCCCCGCCGCGTACACATAAGTCATTGAACTAACTTCTTCTGCAGCCAAAAAGGAAAACAAAAAGAAAATAAAAAACAAAAATAAAGAGGAAATTAAAAGAAAATAAAAAAGAAAAAAGATAAAAAGAAAAGACAAACTCAGTTTTCAGAAATGGCCTTTTAGTGTGGCGAAATGAAGTCTGCATGCAAATGCATTTTTAATATTTATCAATGCAATTTGCAAGTTCTGTTTATCAGCACAATTTACAAATTATATTTAATGCCCCAATTAAAAACAAAAAAAACATTTTGCAAAAATGGATTTTATTTAAATTAACTTTCTGCAGCTTTAGAGCTTTTTGTGTGCACACGCATGCAGCTGTGAAGTTCCACAGTGTACTCATTAAGTGCCAAAGTGCCTTTTCTTTGCTTATTTCAACAAGTCCAAAGTGCCTTTCCTTACTACAACTCTTCATCAAAATGCACATTAATGCATGCATTGGCCACAAGATAACCTCCACAGAGGTGCACATATGCATGCATATGAATACCTAAAAACAGCTCCAGATCCACAGAAGTCATCTGCATGCATGCAAATCCATCTAAGCCTCCGTTTAAAGGATTTTTAACTTCAAATAAGTGGAAAATTGCGAAAAAAAAAGAACTTTGCATGCAAAAAAGTGGCGCCAAAATCAGCTCAACTCGCCTTTGCAGCTGGTGCTGGCGCAGTGCTGCGTTTCGTTCATGTCTGGGCAAATTGTGCCGGAGACAGATTTGCGAATTCTGGACTGCAGGCCGCTGCAGCTGCAGCTGGACCACTCCGTCCACTCCAAGTACACGCAGTCGGAGGCTGCGCGAAGTTGAAAAAAAGCAAGTTTTCGAGATTATTGACAATAATTGTTGAATGTAATTAATTATATTTCATAAAAGCAACAAAAAGGACGAAAAATGGAGAAAAATGACGCAAAATGAACCCCAAAACGCCAAGTTTTCAGAGCAAATAAAAGAAAAAATTCGAAAAATAATTTAAAAAGATTTGCTGCAGAGAAAGACAAAATCAGAAAAAACTGCAAAAGTGCATTTGGTGCAAAAGGCCTCGAGTTGCGCCGAAGTCGGCGAAAAAAGAAAAAAAAATAAAACAAAAAACAAAGAAATAAAATAAATGCGAACTTGTTGAAAAAAACAAAAAAAAACGGAAGTTCTAGTTGGAAGGCACCCAGGGCGAAGCAGCTTCAAAAGGAGAATAAAAGTGGAAATAAAAGAATGAAATTGAAATAAAAGAATAAAATTGGAATAAAAGAATAAAAGTGCAAATAAAAGAATAAAAGTGCAAATAAAGGAATAAAAGTGCAAATAAAAGGATAAAAAGTGCAAATACCGGTGCAAATAAAGGAATAAAAGTGCAAATAAAGGAATAAAAGTGCAAATAAAAGGGCGAAAAGAAGATTAAAAAGAAAAGAAGAAGACGATTAAAAAGAAAAAAGAAGAAGATTAAAAAGAAAAAAGAAGATTAAAAAGAAAAAAAGAAGATTAAAAAGATAAAAGAAGAAGATTAAAAAGAAAAAAAGAAGATTAAAAAGATAAAAGAAGAAGATTAAAAAGAAAAAAGAAGAATAAAAAGAAAAAAAGATTAAAAAAAGATTAAAAAAAGATTAAAAAAAATAAAAAAAAAGAAAAGTAAAACTGCGGCAACGCACTGCAGTCGGGCACGTCGTGGCACCTGCGGCTTTCCGCCTCGGCGGCGTCTTCGTCGCATTTGGCCAAATCGCAAAAAGGGTCTTTTTGGGTTTTTTGATTTTCTTTTTTATTTTCTTTTTTATTTTCTTTTTTATTTTCTTTTTCTTTTTCTTTTTCTTTTTCTTTTTCTTTTTCTTTTTCATTTTCCACAACTGGAACTGGATTTTGCAAACGCCGTCTTCGCCGGATTTGGTAGCGGCCGCTCCCGCACGCCGGCTCGCACTCCACTTCCGACCACTCCGAGAAACCCCCAAACACGCAGCACGTTGCTGCAGCAGCAGCAGCAGCAGCAGCAGCAGCAGCAGCAGTGGCAGCAGTGGCAGCAGCAGCAGCAGCAGTGGCAGCAGCAGCAGCAGCAGTGGCAGCAGCAGCAGCAGCAGTGGCAGCAGCAGCAGTGGCAGCAGTGGCAGCAGTGGCAGCAGCAGCAGTGGCAGCAGCAGCAGCAGCAGTGGCAGCAGCAGCAGCAGCAGCAGCAGCAGCAGTGGCAGCAGCAGCAGTGGCAGCAGTAGCAGTGGCAGCAGTGGCAGCAGTGGCAGCAGCAGCGGCGGAATGTGTGGAGCCTAAACCCTAAACCCTAAACCCTACACTATGGGGTAAAGCGTGAAGCCTGGGAGGGAAATAAACCTTTACACCATAAACCCTAAACCCTAAACCCTAAACTCTAAACCCTAAACCCTAAACCCTAGGAAAAGGCCTCAGCTTACCGTGCATGTTGTTGCTAACTTCTGAAGAATTCAAAGTCCCTCCTTCTTTGCAGGAAGCAACTTCAAATAATTTCTCTTCTGCGGTTTCGTTGTCATCCACGAATCCATACC